CCCTCCCGCAGCCTCAAGTTTAAGCCTGTTGTGCTAGGCCTTTTCTCTCTTGGCTTGTGCTAAAAATAACTCATACGCCCCTTCGACCCACTGACTTTTTTTTCTCCCAATTATTTTGCTTTCTCTCCCGCTCTCTGCTGTTTAAGCAAGGGTCTTTTTGTTCTTAGGAAATATTTGTAGGGCTCTTATTATTTCGTTGCGATGGAAAGTTGGTTTCATTTTAATGCCGGAAACTTTGGGAACAATTTAAGTTAGATAGGCTTATAATTTTACGCAATTTGCGCTTATGATCTTTGGAAGTTTGACAAAGTATAATTCAATATTAAAATCGCTTGCTTAAGCTTGTTTTATTTTACTGAGCAGATTACAGATTACGATCAGACAATACTTTATACTCATATATACATATCGAAACTTGTTGAAAATGTACCATTAAAAACCATTGTCTTAGTTTTTCATTTCCTAAGCTCAGGAATCGCTTTCAAGTCTTCTTTTTTGAAAGCCCATCATCTCTCTCACACAGGCGTGACCTAATGACCTAGCTGTATACAAGCTTTCATCGGCCTACTTTGCAAATGGAAGAGATACATAACCTCAGTCACAGCCACCCACATGTTTTCACCCACCATCACCATTACACTTAAATTTTTGGGAGCCACATATGTTTTAGCTTATTGAAAACAAGAAACATGACTCTCCCTTTTCTTCTGACACCCTCCGCCTCCTTTTTATTAACCTTAAGTGCATTTGTATTTGTCAAGCGATTTGTTTATTTTTGCTTGGCTCAGCTAATGCGCATTAACAGGCAAAAATTGCTCATGAAAATAAGGTGAACCATCTTCGTGTGTGTAGAAATGTTTGCGGACTGCCTCAATACTTCCTTCAAAAGCTTTTCCGGATATTTTTCCCGCTTTCTTTTTGAGAGCTTTTTCCAATAAACATGGCAACAATTGTCGCACGCGCTGCAGCAATAACAAAAGCAACCACAGTCGTGGTAACTGCTGATTAAATATACACCTACATCAAAAAAATTGACGACAAAAATATGTACTTATGTACATACAGATCTGGGGATATACATAAGTACATACACCGCACCAAAATACTGTGAGCACCATCAATTAAACCACAACATGTAAATATGAAAACAAAACAAATATCTTCAAAATGCTCAGTTTATAAAAGCAAATTTTATTTAATTTTACGATTGCTTAATAATTCAGAACACAATATAAAAAAACAAAACATAAAAACCTTTTTGCTGCCTAAAGTTAAATAAAGCGATAGAAATATTATTGCATATGTAAATAAAGCGATAGAAATATTATTGAATTTCTGATACGTTATTAGAATTAAAATGTTTACTTCTAAATTTCTTTTTTAAATGAATATTTATTGATATTTAATAACCTGAGATGGGATCTTTTCCCAGGAATCTACTGTATGTACAAGATTATTTATTAATTCACATTCGTACAAACATAATATATGTATGTATATCAAGAAACAGACCCAGAAAGGAAAATAAGCAAAAAGCCCACCCGCAGTCGGCGGCGAAGTCGACGTCAACTTCGCAGTCGCTGATGTATTTGTTGCTTTTGTTGTTTGCCGAGTAAATAGGTGAACGACCGTCGATAATACGCGACCTTCAAAATAATCTGGGCCAAGTGCTGTCCCAGTGTGCGGTTGTGTGTGTGTCTGTGAGCCGCGGTATATGTGTTTTGTATCTGTATCTGAGAGTACCAAATACTTACGCACTTTCACTCACACTCTCTCCCGCACCCACCCCCTAACCGCCCTCTTTCTCTTTTTATGCCTCTCCCTCTCTCTCTTTCTCTCTTTTTGTGTGTTGTTGTGCGAATAGCTTTGGTCGCTTTTGTTGTCTGCTGATTGGAAAATAGAAATTATATTTATGCGCTTCCTATCACAACTTTTGCATTGAATTAAATAAAATAAACAAAGATGTGTTAAAAATAAATGCCTTTGCGCATGTTTGATTTAGGTTTTAAAGAAGAAATATTTAATTGAGATGTGATCATAGATATTTGGGGTATATTAAAGTATTTTCTTGTTACCAACAAGGATAATTTACCTTACTAATAAGTAAGAACATTTTTTATTTAAAGTAAATATTTTATTATAATTTTTTTGATTGTATTTAATTGCATTATTTATTTTCGAAAATCCTTAAAATATATCATTTTTTTCAAACTTTTTCAACGAACCTTCCATATGTAAATCTAAAACTCTGCCGCTCTGTTAAAAATCATTTAGCTTTATTCTCTTGAAAGCCCCGCTCAAAGCTTTCCAAGCTTTCCACGCACTTTTCATGACTTTGTGAAGGGCCAAAGTCGTTGCACTTTATTCAGGACAATGACATGACACACATACAGACACAACTTGTAACACACAAACACAAAAGTCCTTGTAAACGTTCGGAAAGTACCAGTCGGAGTGTAAATGGTAAAGGAATTCGAGCAAAAATTTGAATTTTAATTAAAATTTTAACGTTGTCCTTTTATCAGTTTTCCTTTACAATTGTATTTTATGGTTGGGAAAATGGGAAAACGGCGGGTCATAGTTATCGGCACATTCTGTTCCACTTGGAATAGGATTGCTTTGGGGCAAGCACAGTTCATGTCCTTGGACGATTTTCCCCGAGAGTTGAATAAACACTGAAGGTTATCCACGCTATAAATGAATGTACATGCATGTTTGAGTGAGTTTAGCAAGAGAGTATGCATAGAACACGACGTCAGAGGATCCAGAGATTTATATTGTGTTGCGGTTAGCCAATAATGTCTGGAAAATGAGAGAACATTACGTTGTTCATACTAAATGCCCAAAACCGAACCCAATTTTTTGAAATAACATAAGAAAGTTAAACAAAGAATGTAATCAATTCATTAAGTATTTAAATTTAGGAATCAACTAACTCTTATTTTTCGCCATTGGGGTAAATTAATATAATCGGTATTCCTTTCAAATACTGTATTTGCTTTTAAGTATAAAAATAGAGTTTATTCCGTTTCTCGTTTTCCTTCTCTGTTGTAATCTGTGGTCATCTTAATCTGCCTGCAACCTTCCGTTCTCCAACAAAAGTGTATGTTCTCCATTAAGTTGGCCCCTTCTCCTTCCGTTCTCCTCTCAATTCTCAATTCTCAGCGGTGTTTGCCTAATCGAATCAGCGGTGAATTGCTGTGGGTTAAGTGCTTTTTATTTTCACACCGTTTCGCGTCTAACACGTTTAATGGAGCACTAGTGGCAGAAACATAAGCTATTTCATACAGAGAAAAATGAGCATTTATGAATTAAAGATTTTATTATTTTGTTTTCGATATATTTTCTATATATGTATAAATATATTTTCTATATAGGTATGTATAAATATTCTTTCGTATATATGTACAATTTTTTAATATCTCTTTTGTTAGCATACTTTTGAGAGAATGTTTTATTTGGTGTTTTCAAATCAACACAGTTTTTGAAAAAAATATCCTTATGGAAACATGGTGTATTTTTCAAAATTATTGGTTTTTAATAACCTAAAAAAAAATTAACGTTATTGAAATCCACACCTGAACTTCTAGTTTTTTCTTTAAACTGGTTTCTGGTTCACTTAATATCATCACTTCAAAGACTCTTACAGGAGAATGATTTATTAGCTTAACTGCATCTGCAAACTGATTATTTTCTCTCAGTGTACAAATGCCAAGTGGTTCAACCCACACCCAGATGTTGCTGCTGGGCGCCGAGTGCAGCGCCAAGTGACCCTGAACCCGTGCAACGACACAGAACCGCTGGCTGCGACTGCTGGCCGGGATTGTGCAACATGGCAGCCGAATCCGAATTGAGGGCAGACCCAGAGGCACGGCCTCAGTGGGCGGAGATAAATGGCCACGCCCCCTCCCCCTCCCCCGATTTACGTGGGGAGTCGCCGTTGCAATGAAAAGTTCAAATGCGTTCGCTGACATTTTGCCACAGTTCCCAATGTCACTTTTGGGTGGCTGGAAAAACTCTAGGAAAAAACGGAGGGGTTTTAGCAAAAGTTGGTAGCTTGGCTGCTGGCTAGGACAATCCCTATGTAGCTCAAGGATTCTGTCGCATTCACGTTGCACAAGCCACAGACGTTGACTTACCTAACCCAAACATTGAGATTTGCTCTTTTGTTTCGTTTTATTGCAGCAGAAGTTGCTGGTTGATCTTGGTAACCAATTTTTATTGCTGGTTAAGCTAAGGGCTTAAAGCAATTATTGTTCGTACTTTTAACATGAGTGTGTGTGTCTCCTGACGGATTCAAACGCACCAAATGTTCATACTAGATTAACTATATTCAATGAGAAACAAAATTTTTGACACGTTAGCTACGTTAAACCATGATTTATTTAATTATAATAAGCAAACAAAAAAGCCAAATGTATTTCATAACTCTAATATTTTTAGTTCACTTTTAAAATCTAATTTAGTAACGAAATTAGGCGCCGAAGCAAGAGAAAAATGAATGGCACACCTGTATCTAGTTATAAATACAAATTCAGTACAAATTAAATATATAAAAAATTTTAAATGCAAAGTAATATTTAAAAATCTTTAATTTTTACTACTCCTATTCTTCTTTTTAATTTCGTTTGTTTCAAAGAGCACATCATTTCTGATTATGGGCTTCTTGTTGCGAACCCTCGGCAAACTTTTTGAGTGGTTTTTGGTGTAGGTCTAGTTGCCTTTTTTATTGCCTATACTGGCCATCCGTCGGCAAAGCCTTTCTCACGCCTTGTTTTTGGCCCGTCTCGCTGTTCGTCAGCACGGCCTTGAATAAGTCTTCTGTCATTGGCATTTTCACAGTTCATTTAACTTTGGCCTGCTCTGCTTTTGCTGCCTTTTCTGCTTTTGGGCCTTCGGCTGGCAGGACAGCGATTTCGGAGCTTCTGTTGCCAACCGAACCTGCAATCAGACTTCGGCTGCGGATTCTTTCTGCTGCGATTCTTAACTTTGTTTTGTTGTTTTTGGAGGCCACAATCTGATAGTTTCCCATTTGGTTAAATGTTCGCCATCAAGCTGAGCCAATTGCTTTTGTCTGAGCCAGAAACGAATAAAATTAGGTTCAAATTAGGGATGATTGGTTTAGGGGAAAACTTTTGGGATTCTCTTAAACAATTTGAGTGGGACTAACAATTAATGCAATTAATATACAAGTCACAGTTTAAAAATACAAATTACATTTGTAGTTAAAGCTAAAAAAAACTGAAATACACTATTCAGTGAGTTGACCAAAAAATGCCTCTTTTAGACTGAGAATTATTGAACTACAAATGTTATAATTTCTAAACAGTAATAACTAAATTCGATGCATGTATTATTAATAACCAAAAGAAGTAATAATTTAATTCAGTTTAAAATTTATAAAGATACACGCATACAGTTATTTTAGCTTGTTCTTATTTATTAAACACTGTGGCTAAAGTTATAAGAACAACATTTTAAACTCACGCGCCGTCACACAAAAGCTTGCCTCCACACTGCTTGCAAGCAGTGCAAAGCTTCTGACCAACCGTTCACTATGTCGTAGCTACTTGGCCAAATAAAAAGCCGAACAGCTGACTGAAACTTGCGATTTTCTGCTTCTGAATTTCGGCTTTGGCGCCCCGCGTTTGTTGTTTTGCTTATTATTCTGCGTTCTTCGCTCGCTGCGCGAATACTGAATTCTGAACACTGAGACTGTGCCTGGCGCTCAAAGAAATCTCCCAAACTTTTCGGCATTTCCACGTGAATTCCAACGGCCAAAGCACAAATCAAAATATATATTTATATTTTTTGAAAATTCCCCAAGTGTCATAAAGAGAGAGTGATAAGTCTTTCCAAATGTTAAATAGTTAAGCAATGCATAAACAAATGTTGGCATTTATTAGATGAAAATGCATAAAGACCTGGCCAAAAATAAAACACGTAAAAAATCCTACATCATCGATACTCTGGTTGCTATTTTGTGATATATCTGTGCACACAAATATTAAATAACAAAACGAAACAAATTATTTTAAAACTAAAAAGAAATTAAAAGTTGATAGCAAAAATTAGCTTAGTTAGCTAAATAAATAAACTCTCACAAAGGTGCCATAAGAAAGCCTTAAATTAATTAGAAGAAAAATAAACTAGTACAAATCCTAGGAAATATTTAGTTCAATCAATTCCAAAAAAAAATCCTAAAAAAACTAAATAAGATCGACGGACTCGATATTACCACAATAAGTTAATTGATCCACGCCTCCTTGTCAACGGTAATCAAACATAATGACTGTGGGCAGTCGGGAGGATCTTTTTGCCCAGGCGAAACATATAGACGATACCGAACGTCTGATTGGAAGAGTTTTAGCTGGTGAGTGAATGAATCAGTCTAATGTATATACAAGAGCTTAATAGTATTGGTAAAGATTATGCGAATGTAGAATTTGAATAAGTATGGAATATACGATTAAGCTAAATGTTTCAACATGATTTATGGGGAATTTTTAGTTTATGAAGATAAAAATAAAAAATTTTATTTAAACTAAAAAATATTTTTATGTTAGTATCTACTTTATTATACAAGACATAAGTTTTCAATATTTAATGAATGCATTTCTTAGTTTGTAACTCCTGGAGAAAAAAATTAGCTTTTAAAGTAATTATTAATTCACATCATGAAGTTTGACGTTAACCCACGCTTATGGTTCTTAGCATCCGCAAGTGCAAATGAATTTCCTCATCTCGAAGAAGATTTCACTTTCATTCTATCTTTCTATTGGCTCCATGTACTGCGTGTATTTTTGGCGCTTCCTCAGCGGTCGTTGAACTCATTAACCTAAATTTTCCTTTTGTGCAAAAACAAAAAGCAAAGGCAACGTATCAGCCGAGGGGAAAAGTGGACGGCCCCACATGACTATAGAGAATTGCGTTTGCGCCGATTGAGTTGTTGTTATCTTTGCCGAGGGATTTTTCTGCGGCTTTTGGGCAACGCAAACTTTATTGGCCTATAAACTGTCCATATCCTGAAAAGAATATTTTATTGATGTCGAATTCATGATTAATATTTGCCGCATAAGTGAATTATATATTCATGTTTGGCAATCAAACTGCTTAGAAGATAACATACTCGTGAATGTCGTTTATGCGTTGCAGGAATTAACGAACAAGCTTTTATTTCTTGAAATAAAATAAATCAAAAAACTTAAGGATTGTCCTTAGGCATAAATACTAAAAATTTTACTTTTCTTTTCTGATAAGAAAAATGTAAAATTTTATAAGCCACACATTTAGGTTTTTGTTCCTTAATTTGCCTGAATTGCGCTTAAAAGCAGTCTACAAATTTTGTAATTTTTGAAAAGCTGGTAGCTCAAAGTTGGTCCTCCTGTAAAAAAATTTTACTTTGAAATTTAAATTTTTTTTACTCTAGTTAATTTTTTGAATTTTTTTCTATTATCTCGAATTGAAAAGCATGAGCGCTGTGAGAGAGGGAGCACCAATCAAACTCAAACCGAAAGCAGCGCTGAAATCCGAACAAACCCGAATTCGAACGAAAGTAAAAGCACGACGGCAATATCAGCAATGTCTGCTGCTGTCGTTGATGTTGGAAAATCTAGGCCAGGGACTCGTGCGGTCGTTGAACTTGGCAAAAAGTGCGGGAGCATTTTGGGGGAAAAGGGGAAATGGGGGGCCCTGAAACTAGATTTCGCTTTCAATTGATAGCGTTTATAGATGGCACGAAGATTGCGGCTGGAATTTAGATTCTAATGCTGCTTATTTTATTTGCAACTGTTGCAAGTGAATGGCTTCGGTCACTTACACAGACAAAGGCACGTGCCACAAGTATTCGGGGCATTTGTTGACATTTTGTGGCATTTATTCTGCTGAATTTATATATTTTTAGTTCATTTTTTGTTAGTAGTCAGCTAGAGATTTATGGCTGACAATATTAGGTTTCTGCACTCGAACACAACGGGTGACATTTTTTCTAAATATATGTGGTTGTCTTTAGATGGCTTACATTCGTTTGCTTTTCTGTAGATATGTGTGCATTGCAAAAAGGTTATTTGCTAAGAAACTTAAATAATTTGGGGCACTACCTTACTTATTAAACAAATCCCTAAATCAAGAAGTGTCACTTTTTAATTTTTTGAACCACGTTCAGATCTAACAAGAGTTTAGATAGCTTCAATAGTTCTTAGTTTTTCTGTGCCTTTAAAATTGAGTACTTCTAACATTTTTTATTTATATTTATTTTTGCAACTTGTCCAAGTTTTTTCCTGCGATTAGATAAGCGGACCGACAGCCGGCGGTATTATTAAAGAACCCGATAGCGGCGCAGTTTATCTTTCCTCTTTATAGCGCTGTCTCTCTTTTTTTTTTATAAACTACTAAACTACTAAAAATTATTTTACTTTTTATTTATTTGTAATCGTAAATTTCCCAATCACCAAAAGGAGGAAAACCCGGTTGTCATTTTCCTGTTTTTTCACCGATTTCCCAAACTTTTTCTCCCATTTCCTCTATGCCTCCCAACTACTTTTCGCTTATCGCACTCCCTCTCTCTCCGATTTCTCTCTCTCTCTCTCACTCTCTCTTTGGGGTTCTAGGCATTGTGGCTTTGGCCTTGGAATTGCCAGGGCGTTCATTGACCTGCCTCAGTTCGGGTTTGTTTTTTCATTGCTCCCCTATCTGTAACTACATTTGTATGTGTGTCAGTGTGTGTATTGGTGTGTGTGTGTGACGGTTGTGCGCCTGTGTGTTTATTTCTATTATCGCCTCAGCCGATGTACGCGGCGATATTATGCCAGCCATATGACCTAATAAAATTATTTTGCTTTATTTTTCACTCTGCTAACATTTGCGTTTGCTGGGGGGATCTGAGGGGAAAACAACGGCGGGGGTTTCAAGGGTTCCAATTTCAGTTTGAAACTGTATACAATGGGGTTTCGTTTCGCAAACAGGGCGTATACTTGATCAGGCTCAGAATTTAATTTAAGCAGCAATATATTGTTAGGCAGATCAAATCTAGCTACTGGTCTTTTATCTTGTTGCTTAATGATATATTTAAAGTTGTTTAAGAGATTTAATTTGTGGTTTTTTGTTCACCTTGCATGATTACTTTTTAAAACAATTTATGAAAATTTTGAAAAGGTGCCCTTATTGCAATAGCTTCACTTGATTTGTTTAACTCATATAATAATACTTTAAACTGGCATTGGAAAACACAATTAATAATAGAAAATATTAACTGCGAATATATCTAACATTAATAACTTGAAAAATATACAGGCTGTGTTTTGGTTTGCACAAATTTCCAAAGGATTCTCCTGTCCTTTTTCCTCTCGAAGTGCATATGCTTTGGTCGTGTGAGAAATCACATTTGCTTGTCAACTGCAGCAGACAACATTTGCAGTCGACACAGACAGAGAACGAGGGAAAGAGACAGACTGACACTGAGCGAGTGGGACAAAAGCACGTATTACTCATACGCAACGTGGCCACCACATGGAGAGAAAGAGACATAGAGAGAGAGAGAGAGAGAACCTCGGATTCTCGCTCTCCGATTGCAGTTTTCTGGGGTAAATGCATCAGTCGCTTTGGGCCAATGTCCGACCTTCATTTTGGCCCGGTTCAGGCGCCCAGTTGGGGGCTCCACTGCAGCATGGATGCTGCCCCCGTTTCGCCTTGGTCCGCTCCTGCTCGCGTTGCAATTGCCGCTGCTGCGCTCCCATTGTGCGAGTGTACAAATGCCCCTGAATGAAAATGTGTTTAACTGTTTTCATCGCTGGCCAAGAGTGAGCGGATGGCTTGAAAGTTTTCAGCCTGCCGGAGCGAAGGCTGAAAATGTTGGGAAATGCTTGATTTATGCGGCGGTTGCATTGCAGATTGGAGATTAATTGGATTGGAAAAGTTGAACAAGAAGTAAATTGTTTTTGGGTGCTACTCTTGGCTGATTTTAATTAAGCCAATTAATACGAGAACTGCGAGATTTAAGTTTAAGAATAAGAGCCAAAAACTTTTTAAGTCGTAGGTCTGGTTTAAAAATATTATTATTACCCAACCTTTAATACCTATGTCTGTAATTTTGCTCATTTAAATCATTTTGAAGATTACATCGACAATTTTAATGATTGTTTACTATAGATTTAGATTTTCGGATAGGATCCCAATGTCCCAATTTTCACTGTCAATGTGTTAAAACTTATTAAGAAACCGTATATTCCTCCTTAAATGTCATTGAACAATTTTCAATTACTTATCAAATATTTATTCTATTTTCAGGTAAGTCAATTGCGATCGATCAATCACGCTTCTAATCCCTTCATTCTTTCCACGTAAGTTGTGCAAATTAGCTAAGCAAAAACTAGTCTCAGGCTCACAATATCAGCTCGATCGCTCGACTCGAGTCGACTCGAATGTCATCAGAGGTTCTTCACCTGGCCCCAGTGTTTCTAGTGGGCCACAACCTTGCCACCGCTGAAACTGAGTCAAATAACTCATAAAAATAAATGTGCGCGGCTACGGAATCGGTCCCAATTCCGATGCATGTTCGTTGGAGCCACAGACCCACGCGATTTGCATTTCGCAATTGAATCGAGAATCGAGAGAGAGGCAAACGCTGCGTTCTATGCAATAAATAAATTCAACATAATTTTTCTTAATGCCACTTTTTGCTCTCCTCCGCTGGCTGTTCGCTTTGTTCGAGCTGAACTCCGAGTTGAATGCACCAGCAGCATTGCAAAGCAGTAGCCTCGATCTAAATTTACACACAGATACACACGCACACACAGGCAGCAGTGCAGCTACGGATTTTGTCGTAGTTGTGCGAGTGTGTGCGTCTGTGTGATGAACTTGCACTCGATTTGTGTGTCACTCGCACACACACACACACACAGACTCGAGGGGCAAAGCTTCAGGCGGAAAGCTTTTCGTTCGGCGATGGCGAACGGAAATGGCGGCAAAAGAGCGAGCAACCCGAAAGCTCCCTGTCTCTTTCTATTAGCTAGAACCAAAGGATTAACTGCAAAGTTCAAAAAATATGTTTAACAATAAAGTTAGACATTACAAATAACTCGATATTTTTGTTAGGTTTTTATTGAGATACAAACAAATTTGGTTAATGTTTTTAAAGAATTAAAGAATAAAATAAAAAAAAATTTAAAATTGTCAAGTATTTCAAAATGAAAGAGGGAAACTCTTAACAAAAATATAACACATTTAACCTCATGAAAATGTTTTATAAAACTGAAATCTGAAATCAACTTTTTTTAATAATTGATTTCTTTTTAAATAATGAATATAAAAAGCCTTGGTTACCAAACAAAATTTATAAAGTAAGAAAATGTATAGAACTGCAGCTGAAAAACACCTATAAAAGGAATTCGAAAAAGATCTTAAGCCATATTTGTAATAAGTTCAAAATATTAACTATTATTATAGTTATTATAAACCATACGAAGCTAACAAAAGGCAAGCGCCCACACCCGACGACTGTCTCTTTCAATAGAATTTCAAAAATAGTCGTTGGAAAAAAATCACACAAATACGCAGGGAGAATTTTAGAGGTTACTGCGAAGCGGGTCAGTTCAGTTCATTCGCCCTGTCTCACAATGGGTTGGCACAAGGGGGTGGCGGGGTGGATGGGGAAAGGCAGGGGAGGGGGTGCAACCTTGCAGTGCATTTTCATAGAGCCGCTCGCCAGGGGCGGACGCAGGGGGTGTTTGGGGGGTCCGGACCCCCCCAAAATCACAGACTTTTTCAAATTCCCTTACAGCACACGGCCTTTCAACCATATAAACTAAAAATTTTTTTGACCGGACCCCCCCCAAACGAAAAAATTTTTCGACCGGACCCCCCCAAAATTTTTTTCTGCGTCCGCCCCTGCCGCTCGCTATCGCAACTTGTGTTTGTGTGAGTGTAGAGCGCCGTATTGCAATAAGCCAACTGCACGTGACCTCGTTGCATGTGGCGACTGTTCGCTCTTCCCTCTCATTCCCTCTCCCTCGATGCGCATATTATATATATTCGCTTTTTTTTTTGTTTGCCTAGCCTAGCGCACAAATTGAAGTCGACAAACGTTCATGAACTCAATTTCGGTTTTCCTTCAAATTCTGCAGTGACGTCAAAGAGCAACTGTAAATTTGTTTCAGAGCTTTTGCACTGCCTATTTTAACTAGCCAAAAGCTGCAGTTTCTAACTGCCTGCTTAGGCATATGGCTTGATGATATTCTGTTCTATAACTACTTTTAATTATTTATTGGTTAATAAATAATTTTCAATTTGAAAATAATGAACGGTTTTGAATGTCATGCAACGCCACCTGGCGGTTGTCGGCAGAAGCACTTTGAATTGGAAAGCTTTACGTTGCCAATGCTCTCCGCTAGAAGCGCCACTTCTTTGGTTTAAAAGGCCTTTAAAAAAGGCTATTCGGTTTTTCAAATCTTAAGTTGACCTATTTATTCCTTATTATTATTATTTCGGTTTCCAAAGTTTGAATATGTGCAAATCATTTTAAAATAACCTCAATGGACTAGTTTCTTGATTGATCTTGAAGTGTGATTTCTTTTTACAAATTAATTTATCTTATCAAGTTGGATTCATGTTTTTTTTCAAATCTAGATAGATAGGTATACTTGTAAGTGGCTTTAGAACTTTGGCAATCTCTACTTGATATGCTTAACTTTTCTATTCAACTACGCAGCGATCAATCCAAGTGATCTCAAATTCTAATTGCCTTGATCGGCGGCGATGCAAAACCCTTTAGTTGGATTGGGTTTTTCAATTTATTTTTTAGGGTTGGACGAGGACTATATGCGCATTGCAAATTCAGCTCGGGCCCTTACACTTAAGTGATTCTCAATGCGATACGCTCTACCTTCCAATCTCCTTCCACCCCTCTCTCTTTTTTTTCTCCCTACGCCCTCTTTTCCCCCGCCGAATATCTGCCATTTTCGTGTGGCAGCTTTTCTCCTTTGGCTTCTTTCAAGGTTGTTCGGACATTGACATTTTCATTATTTGGTATGTTCTTTTTTTTATGCCAAAAAAGTTTGGTTCTCGGTCGTCTTCTTCTTGTTCGCTTTTTGGTGCGTGTGTTCTTCTCCCTCTGCTTCTTCTTCGGGTTCTTTTTTTTTTTTTTTTTTTTTGGATTTTTTTTATTTTGTTAATGTTGCCCGCATAAAATTTGAGTTGATCCGAAGCGGTTTGTTCACTGGTCTTTCATTTCTCTTTCGTTTTTTCGGAGCTTCCAACAAAATGGCGCCCAACGTGCCACGAGCCACGTAACTCCCCCAAAACCCAAAGCCCCTCTTCGTTTCTAGGGCACTATCTATGTGGGGTAATTCAGGATTTCGAACACGTTCGCCCCTTAGCCCTTGACTTTGAAATCGAGTTGGGTTGGGTTCCGCTAGGGTTTCTGGGCCTAGGGTTTGGGTTTGGCTTGCTTGATAGGTAGAAATCTGACGGATATTTCGGGCCGACTTCCTCCTTCTTTTTGTGCTGAAGTTCAAGTTCGTTTTACGCATTTTAAATGCTGCCTACGTTCGCGCTGTGTATAATCATTCAAATTCTCGCTTTTTTTCGTTTGCGCCCCTGAGGCAATTGTAATTGACACTTGAATATGCCAGACGCACAGCTGAGCGTGAAAGAGGGGCTTGGGGGATCTCTCGGCCGCTTGGCAACTGAGCCATGACATGGCCAAAACTAGCAACTAAACAAAAGTTACTTGAACTCGCCTAATTACGCGAATTACGAATGCCTAACTTCGACTGAACCGAGCCTCAGATATGACTCTGCGAAAAATGCCATAATTTTTAATAGGCTTTTGCCAATTTGGAACTTTTAGAACTCCAAAGCGGTTGCCAAATGACATCACCAGTCAGCAGTTTAGATACTCCTAATCATATTAATCATGGCAAAGCACACGCACTGGCATAATTAACAATAAAAACGCTAACAACTATCATTAGAACAAAAAGCCTACCGTCAAAATGAGATCCGCCAGCAGTTTTTAGCCATATTTTAAAAGTAATGGAAATTACCCATATTCTTCATTTGCTTCATTTGGTCCTGTGCTTAGAAGTAATAGTTCAAATCTAAATTTTAGATTCTAGGGAAAGGTGATTTTTCAAGATCACTAAAGGCTCTTGATTAAAAAATTACATGCAACTTTAATTTTAAAATTACAAATATGTAGATCGATTTTTAGATATACATAATCTGTTGTCTTGCACAACGACTTTTTATCTATCTAACTTATCTGATAGTATCTAAAAAATAAAATACATTATTTCCGTATAAAATTATGATATGATTAAAAAGAATGATTGAACAAAATCTAGTGAAATTTATTTGGATAAACAACTGCAGTCTGTAGCACTTGAAAATTCTTTTCCATCTCAAAACATCCAAAAACCAAAACAAACAATCTCAGTGAAATGCCGATGCCTATTAACCCATTTCACTTGACCAAGACACTGGCCAAATAAAGAAAGCAGGCCACGGCCACGTTACATAACTGCAGGAAAGACGAAGAAAGTAGCAAAGAGAAATACCGAGAGAGTAGAACCAAAGAAAGCAGTCACTGGAGAAAGAAAGCGGAGAAATGGTGGAGGGAAGAGAGCACTTACTGCGATCCCAACTTTTGATTTCAGCATCAGCTAAGAAGAACGCACAGTGTATTTGCTTGGTTATTTAGTTTTAAGGTGTTACTTCTGGTTTTTTTCTGGAGAGCAAGGGAGATGGCAGTAATGGGATGAGGTAACCAAATAAGAACTGACAAAAAAAAAAGAAAAAGTCGTCCAACAACTTTCCGTTTTTTGTGCCAGTAAACATTATAAATATAATTCGAATTGGAATTGGAAAAGAATGTGACTTCAAACTGGAAAAGAGATCGTGATAGGAAACGTTTCCAGCCACCATTTAGTTTTGACCTTCCCAGCGAGTTTTGACCCTTGCCGTTGCCAAATTATTATTTGGCCTTTGCCTTTGCAGCTCGCTTCGATCATCGACAGAAGTTTTGTTTGAACAAGTTTCCAGCAGATTATTTCTTTAATTAACGAGAGCCGAAACTGGTTCTTCGAGCATAAAATCGTCAGAGATCACTTCGGTCCTCAAACAAATCAAGTTGATATTCAATTTTACACCCGCACAAGTTTCAAATCGTTTTCAACTATTTCCTATACTTGAACAAACGTTATATCTTTGAAGAAGTACACCAACTTGAGAAGAAAGAAAATAAATTTAATGCGGATTTAAAAATAAAAAAAATGTTGCCAGTAAGGTTTCCTGTTTTTTATTTTATTTAACTACATATGAAATTCATAGGGATTATTTGGGAAATTTAAGTCTCATAGTTGGTTCTTGTTTT